AAGTGACCATTCATTTTAAGATATATCCATACTGGCAATTGGTAATTAATCATTTCTTCTTGATAATCATTGACAAATGTAACATTTACAATTTTATTTACTTTTATGTGCGCCAAAAATGTCCTTGAAATTTATCATTTATCAGTAATTTTCTATTTGTTCCATTTAATATATGCTCTATTTTGGCTATAGATTTTATTCAAAAAGTCTTTTCCATTTTAGTATGTGATGAAAATGATCCGTTAAATTTGATGGATTTTTTTTTTTTTAATTTTTGAATTTGTTAAAATTTTTTGCACAAATTTATTGGACATCATATTTATTGCCTCTATGTGTTATTTTCACGTTATACGTCAACTATACAATATATATTTAAGTATGAATTCATTTTATTCATTAAAAAAGAAAGCGTTTATTTGATTTAAAAAAACTTGTACTTAAATATGTATTTTACTGCTAATAAAATAAATCCAGTTTGAATATATGAATGCATTATTGCTTATAAAGTTAATAATAATTAAATTAAATAATGAATTATCAGCAAATCGTAATAAGTATTCATTGATCAATTTATTTGTAAATGAAAAACTACACAAGTATTTATTGTATATGCAATTATTGATTTACTCATTTTTTATGCCAAAATTCGGGAACATCTATTAGAATTGTATGAAAAAAAGAAATAAACTAATAACTAATGCAGTTTTTAATTACAGTTTACAAAAGCATGAAGTATATTTAAGAAAGAAGCTTCCAGATATTGACATTTAATTTTTTATAATTAGAAAGTTTCCGAATTAAGAAATAAATGAAATTTCATAAGCTTTATTTAAATTAAGAAGTTTCTAACTTTATTGAAATGAGCAAAATCTCACGTCGGGTAATCAACCATTTGTGAGAAAATTACGATTAAGGAATTTTTGAAATATTTTAGAATAGCTATTTGATAATATGAAAGCTAATAAAAGAGATTAAAGCACAAATAGACAAATAGCTATCATCATTGATCATTACAGTGATTTGAGTTTATCAAAGAAAATAGCTTATTTAAGTTTATTTATTGCTTAGGAGTAAAATCACCGTGTTTTTGAAGAGACAATACGGAAAAAAATTAACAAAAATTTCAGGAATTTAATCTCCGCGGCATTTTCTTTCCTTTTTTTTTTTTGTTTATCTCATAATTGATAGATGAATGAACGATTGGAATGATCGATTAAATGATTGACTGACTGAATAAATGGATGAATGAGTGTAATGAATATATGAACAATCGAGTGGAAAACAAAAATTATTTGTATCAACATTTTATACTAATTGATCAATAAACAATATGCATCATAATTAAATCATTGAGATGAGATATTTTTATTTTTCAACATTATTAAAAATAGTTTATATTTTAAAGAAAAATTTATGCTACATTTATAACTATTCATAACCAATTCGATTAGTTAATATTTGTTATTGTTGTCAACAAAATTACTAATAAGCTCATTTATTTTTTTGCTTCCATGATTAGTCAGTCAAACTTAATTGTCCTGAAATAATTATTCGGCCAACTATTTAAACAGAATTATCGATTATCATTCATTATTACTGCTCGTCCCACTTTTTGGCATAGATAATCTCATCTGAACTAAATCATTTTAAATTTATCGTTTCAAAAGTGAATGAAATTTTTCCTCCAATATCTATCCAACAATAGTGGTAATAATTACTTATTCAAATCGTTTTTATTTGACTGATACTTCTCCTGAAAGTTCTTTTCGTTTCCGTTAATTTTTTTTTTTTATTTTTATTTTTTGTCAAAAAGAATGATTACAATTTAAATGATTAGCAATTAAATGAATGGGGTCGATTCCGATGATCATTCAAGACAAAGACAAAGGCACTCTAATGCTACTACAGCAAGAGCAGCAACAGCAACAACAACAACAACAACAACAACAACATCAACAACGACAACGACAACAACAACGGGAACAGCAACATCAATAACAACGTCGCCAATAATTAGAATACAAGGATTACCAAAAAACAGTAGTTGTGATGAGAAACGAGGTATTCTACGAAGTCTTTCATTTCAGGTAAAACATTTATAAAAATTGTTCAAATTTTTGTTCAAATTTTGTAAAGCCTGAAATTTAAATCAATTTGAAATAATCAGAATTAATTTCCAAAAGTGTTGTAATGTCGCGATCAATCAAATATGTGTATTTATGTAAGTCTTTTCGGAATTAATTTCATGATTACACATGATTATTTTTTGATAATAATAGTAAATTTATATTTAGCTAGTAATTTCTAATTATTCCAACTGGCATAAGATAAGCTGATAATTGATTAAAATTGTCATTTTGTTAAAAATTTTTCAATCCTTAAAAAATGAAATTAAATACTATTTAATTAAACAGTTTAATGATTGTTGAAAGTTTAATAGCAGCTAAATAATTAATGCCAATAATTTAGTTAGCATATTAGATTTGATATTATATTTGTAATAAAAAATTAAATTCCACATTTGAACTAACATATTATAGATTTGATTAAATTTATGCATTTAAAATTTTTAATCAATCAGAAAAAAGAAAACAGTCGTTATCATTTTGTTTACTAATTGTATTTAATAAGGAATTATTAAGTTTAACTGGTCAAAAATAAATTGGAATTAAAAAATAATTGCTGGTAAATTTTTAGTTTAGTACATCGTTAAATCGTGGCAGACGTCGTATAGCTGATGTATTTGATAATTCGGATGATGCTGAACAACAAAGCATGCTTAATCATCGAAGTTGTAAATCGAATCGTCTTGAATTAGCCATGTATTCGTCAACATTTGGTGTACAACATTATGGTATTATGTTAAAGCAAAGTAAACGAAAAAATCGTACAGCAAAATGGAATAAACGGTATGATTTTATTATTCATATTTAAATTTAGAATTTTTAAATTTTTCAAATTTTATTTCCTAATTATGATTAATTTTGTCATTTTTAATCTTTGTTTATTACATTTGCACTTGTTCGTTTAAAATGCACTTTAACAAATAATGAAATTTTTCGATTTAATTTATAGAGAAAATTAAAAATTTAAGTGAATGATTCTTTTTTTTTTTAATTTTTAGATTTTTCGTACTCAAAGAATGCTTTCTCATTTATTATAAGGTATCGGAGAAGAAAATATTTGAGAAAACAAGACGAATGAATTTGCACCCAAAGGTATTATCATCATTACCAGTAATTATTCTTGTTATTACTGCATTATCATAATTATTGACTACTATTTACTACTATCATCTGTTATTTTATCACTATTATTATTATCAAAATTGCTATTATGGTAGTGATTGTTATCATTATATCTGTAATTATTAATTATATTACTCTCACGCACTTATTTCTTTGTTAATGATAAGAGAAATTCTATTAGTCTATTTTCTTATTACATGCTAGTAATTAATGTATCATAGAGCTATGCTAATTTCATTTTTTAAATCCATTTTTATTGTTTGGCAGCAATTAATAGCATATGTCATAGAATATCATTTTGTAATATTTTAGATGATGCATACTGATAAATTTCCCAGAGATAACATGTGGAATTGTGTTTGCTTAAAATTTTTACTTATATAAAATGAAGTGATTTAAGACAGAATAGTTGATATAAGATAGTTTAGGATAAAATATTCAAATTAAATTGAAGTAACTTTTTTTTTATTTCTTTTATTGCTCAATATTTTTCTTTTTATTCCTATTTCTTCTTTAAAAATAAATATTTGTTACTTATTTACTGCATGCAATTATCGAAATACTCGAATCAATGTAATTTTAATTGATTAGGGAATTGTTCCACTTGTTGGTTGTTCTGTAGTAGCTGGCCAAGATCATGGACACAAGAATTGTTTACTGATAACACATACACAATTCAAATCAGCTATTATTGTTTGCACACCGGATTCGAAAGCACAAGAAAGTTGGCTAATTGCTTTACGTGATGCTACGAAAATGTTAGTAAAAATTAATTTAAAATATTTTTTTCCCAAATTATAATTCATTTTCTTAAGAAAAAGAAGAAAAGAAAATTCGGATTTTGATGCTGCATTTTCTATCGTTATTGAAATTAGCACACAAAAAAACTGTTGCTATAAAGAAATTGTTAAATGAAAAGAAATATATTTTGTCTTATTAACGTGCATTTAGTAATTATAAAATTTTGGATATAATTTAATTTTAATTTTATAACTTCATAAAGTAATTGAAATTTTAT